CTTATAAGCTCAGGTTTTCATGGTAAGGATTTATTTGTTAAAAAACATGTTCTTAAAGTCCACAATGTGCTCAGTTCTAAATGCTGAGCAAACAGGAATGGACAAAACCCCAACCTTCATGGAGTTTACATTTAAATATGGGGAAAACACAAATATAAGTAAGAATTGCACACACAGACTTGAGATCGGAAGTAGACAATTAACAGTCAGATGTCAAGGGCCTGGTGCTGGAAAGGGGTGGTGTTTGGGGGGTTAGGTGCAAATCTTATCAGTTAATCTGTGAAGGTGGAGCTCTCAATCTGAAGTGTCAGCAATGAGCCAGTGGTGAGAAATCTCTCTGACACAAAATGTTGGTGCTGAGTGGGAGGGCTGAGAAATCCATGTATGTCTACTAGGAATTATATTTACATTTCCAACCTCTAAGGTTTGGGGAATCTGGTACTGATATAAATATCTTCTAGTTGTTTAAATAGGGGATCCATTGGGAAATATGAGATGTTATTTAAAAAAAAACACCAAGGGGGATTTTTAAAAAAATCACAAGAAAAACATTAAAACACAAAGTACATTTTAAATGTCCCAAAGGAGAACTGAAACTGGTTACATTATGCCTCTTCTCTTTTATTATCAGTCCTCCAGGTAATTCTGCAAAATTAACACAAGAAATTTACTGATCTGGTTTCTTTCCAGGATAGCAGCTTCCCTCTGGGAACGTATCAATCAAGACCGCCTGCCCTGCCCCCAGGTGGGCTGAGTTATTGTCTGTTTGCCAAAGAGTATGTTAAGAATCTTCTTAACTTCCTGGGTTTTAAAATGCAATCTTAGCTTAAGATGGAATCTTTCCTGTTTTTATATGCTGTTTATAGTTAGGCTTGTTTGCTAAATTAATCATGATGCTTGTCTCCTGCTCAGGTTGCAAATTACTTGACTAGAGGCTGGAGGAGAAAAAAACAGCATATAGGTTAAGTTAAAGAATAAGCTAGGCCTTTTAGCAGGCTAAAGTAAATCTTACAATGTCATGATCTAATTGACACAATGAAGGCATGGGCTATGTGCTCGGAGACTTTTCTTCACCTGGGGAATATCTGGATATTCCGAGTTGCTCCCTCCCGCCTCCGAAGCTTTAGCTGATTAACTCATTAACTCTGCGAGTCTTTTCTGGCTTTCTAGTTTTAACTGGTTAACTCTTTGAGTCCCTTTTAGTGGGCTTTAATGGCCTTATTCTCTCTCCACCCTGCTCATATCTAGTCTTCTGCCTAATGCTGTCAATCAAAAGAAGTCAGTCACAGCTAGGTCAGGATAAATAGACCCTCCCCTGAAGGTGGGGTGGGGTGCTTTGTCTATCTTGACTCTGGGCTGCTCCTCCCTTGGAGTGTATTCAAATAAAACTATCCTCTGTTTCACTACTGTGTCTCTGCCTTTCAATTCTTACCTGCAGCAGGGACTAGAACTGAAGAGAACCAACTCATGCCATAACATCATCATATCTATCTCCAGCTAAAGGCATTACATCACCATCCATAGTCAGTCCTCTAGATATTCTGTAAAATAAACATAACCCAAGGAATTTATTGGTCCTGTTCTTCTCCAAGATAATGGTTATCCTCAGGCAGTGGGGACATACCATTTAGAACAGCTCGCCCTGCCTTAAGATAGGGCTGGTGGTTGGCTAATCATCAGGTAGGAATCTTACCTCTTAACTCTCCAGTGTTTTTAGCCTTAAGATGAAGTCCTTCCTGTTCTTACTACTTATATCTGCATTTTTTTATCATAGGCAGGGAAAATTAATCATGATACTTGTCCCATGTCCCTACTCTGCCTCACATTCACTCAAAAATTTTTTGCTTTAAAATTTGGTAGTTAAAAAAAAGAATAGGGATGAAATTACTTTGGATTATTTAATTTTGCTTGGAAATATTTGGTTTTTAGGACACTAATTTTAGTCTTAATTTATTATATTTGACATGAACTTACTTTACTTCTACAAGAAACATATGGAAAATAGTACTCTAATTCTTATAAGCTCAGGTTTTCATGGTAAGGATTTATTTGTTAAAAAACATGTTCTTAAAGTCCACAATGTGCTCAGTTCTAAATGCTGAGCAAACAGGAATGGACAAAACCCCAACCTTCATGGAGTTTACATTTAAATATGGGGAAAACACAAATATAAGTAAGAATTGCACACACAGACTTGAGATCGGAAGTAGACAATTAACAGTCAGATGTCAAGGGCCTGGTGCTGGAAAGGGGTGGTGTTTGGGGGGTTAGGTGCAAATCTTATCAGTTAATCTGTGAAGGTGGAGCTCTCAATCTGAAGTGTCAGCAATGAGCCAGTGGTGAGAAATCTCTCTGACACAAAATGTTGGTGCTGAGTGGGAGGGCTGAGAAATCCATGTATGTCTACTAGGAATTATATTTACATTTCCAACCTCTAAGGTTTGGGGAATCTGGTACTGATATAAATATCTTCTAGTTGTTTAAATAGGGGATCCATTGGGAAATATGAGATGTTATTTAAAAAAAAACACCAAGGGGGATTTTTAAAAAAATCACAAGAAAAACATTAAAACACAAAGTACATTTTAAATGTCCCAAAGGAGAACTGAAACTGGTAGTGAATCCCTCCAGCAAAATACAGCTATGTTTTGTTGGAGATGGTGAATAGGAAATTGGATTTATATGTATAAATTTATGTAACTAAATAGGAAAATCTAATTTACATGTTAGGCAGAAAAATAGATGAGAGGGGTGGAAAGAGAATAAGGTCAGTAAAGCCAACTAGAAAGGACTCAGTTAACCAGCTAAAACTAGAAAGCAAGAAAAGACTGAGTTAATCAGTTAATCAGTTAAAGCTCAAAAGATCAGGAGCAACTTGGCTTTGAAGGTTTAAATATTCTCCAGATAAAGAAAAGTATCTCAGGATAACCCATGTCTTCATTGTGCCAATTAGATCATGCCATTGTAAAATTTACTTAAGCCTGCTGAAAGGCCCAGATTTAAACAGCATAATAAAGACAGGAACATTCCACCTTAAAGCCAAAATTGCATTTTTAAAAAAATGGTAGTTAAGAAGTAAGATTCTTAACATACTGTTTAGCAAACAATAACTCAGCCCACCCTTGGGGGCAGGGCAAGTGGTCTTAATTGATATACTCCCAGACCAAAAAGCTGCTATTCTGGGAAGAAATAAGCAGTAAATTTCTTATGTTAATTTTGCAGAATCACCTAGAAAATAAGAAAAAAGACTTAATGACTCATCAAGGATGAACATTCTGGGACCACTTAACAAGTTCACACCCCTAGCCCTTGGAAATTCCTCAACCCCCTATAAAACCCCAGACTTTAAAACCTTAGGGGTGCCTCTTCTCTCAGGTAGCCCACATTACCCTTTCTCTGAGTGTGCGCCTTTTTGCTTTAAATAAACCTCTCACTGCTCAACTTATAACATTTGTCTCTGCGCTTTTCCAGTGGTGTCTGTTACTTTGCTTTTTCATTCTAATCCTCTGGATTTCAGTTCAAACTTTCACTCTCTCTGGCCTATATCAGATAAGTAGGGAGGGGCTGCTGAGAGCTCAGATCTGGGCCTGCAAATTACCATCACCTGGGTGACCTGGATGGAACTGCTGCTTACAGTCATGCTCTTAGTAGCCTGCCTAAAAGTCTCCTTTCTTTGCCTCCAGGCAGTTCGCAGAACACAATCTCACTCCATCCAGTGCTCTGTGGCTCCCCCAAATCCTGGGGTGGTAGGGACTCAGTTCCCATGCCATGCAGATCCAAGCAGACACTGGACGCCAGGTGATACTGGCTTCAGGAGTTAGCGAGGGATGTGCCCCAAACTAAGCAGTAGTTCGATGAACTTCTTTTATTATTCTATTCTGTCATTCCCTGGTACTCTTATTTTTAAAAATTATTTCCTCACCTTGTACTCTGACTTCCCTGCATCTCCAAACCGACTTCCCCTCCAACATACACGTGACAATTTAGAATCAATACAAACAATTCACTTAAAAAAAAAAAAGGTTTTTCTAAATTTCTATGATATTGACATAAACTAAGTACAATAAACTCAAGTCTGAAATTGTTAGCTTTGCTGTAATGTCAGGGTCACTTCAGTGATACTGATAGTTCTTTTGTTACCGGGATGGTCCTTGGTCTCCTTGGGAGAAAGAATTCAAGAATAGATGCAGAGAAGCCTTGGAGCATTTGGGGATGTGGAGTTAAAAGACAGGAAAAGAGTACACATCCCAGGCAGACCCAAGGGGGTTTGCATTGAGGGAACCAGAGGGAGCCCTTATCATATGAGGGGAGATGGATATTCACTAAGTGGGATTAGGTTTCAAAGGGAGCAGGTGGCCTCTGGGAGTTCAGGCTTGCTCCACCCTCATGTAGGGCAGAGGGATTTTTGACTATATTTGGTCTCCATCAGTACTGTCATGGGTGGGGGGGACGGTGTTGGGAGAGGTGTGATTTTTACCATGCTAATGGATTTGGGGGTGAAGTTTGGCTCAATTTCGCCTCCATGTTGTAACTAGGCAGTGTTGGCCAGTCTGTTATTTATAGTCTCACTCCACATCCTGTGAGAACAGCTTCCACAGAATGTGTAGAATGTAAGCAAGCATCACACCGAAGCCCTTTCCCTTCTCCCTGTTTAGGTCTGGCTATCTACCTCCTATAACACTTAGGCTGAACTAATGGCAAATCCAAATTCATTTGCACTAAGATCATCAACTTCCTAATATGTGCTTTAAAAGTTCCAAATAATCTCACTTTTATAAATATTCTAGGTAGTCCAAGGCAAGCTTCCCCACTCTGAGGAGCACATACTGTATCCAGACATGAGCTGGATGTCATCAAGGAGGCCACTAAGCCACCCCTCCGCGACTGAAAGGCAGCTGGAGGACCCTAGTGGGCAGAAGATTTGGGCAGAACTGTGGCTAAGGATCCGGGACACAGGAAGAGATAGAAACCAGAAATCAGACAAGAGGAAGAGAAAGAGGCACATTTCCAGATGGAGCCATTTTATTTCTAAACATGATTCAAAATATATACTTTCTACCTCCACACTGGATTTTCATCTTATAAAATAGATTTGCCACCAAAATCCTTCATAAAATCTGCTTTCCCCTTTACAATGGGAAATAAGCAAAAAGTCAAAGGGTAGAAGGTCATGCATAAAATATATCCACTAAGATAATAATACAATCGTCTTAAATTTTTCACAAATCAGTGATAAAACATTAAGACTAATTTACACTTCACTATATTTTGCAGCACTTCAAGATTTTTTTCTTCATATATTTATGTTCATATTTCACAACATTATAAAAAGACTCAAGTTTTTCATGAAATAGGAAAACAAAGCCATAACACTAAACAAATAATCTGCAGAGCATAAACTTTCTTATAAGAACAAAAATTAAAGACAACAATCTCATCCCAAACCAAAATATTTTCAACATAAACTCTGTAGGCTTCCCAAAGGTGTTCTTAGCTCTCAGATTTTTTTATTGGTTTAGCCTCTCTTGTATCTACTAGGTTTTGTGTATCAAGATTTCTAACTGTTATTATTCCAAGGAAAATTTCAAGAAAGACCTTCAAGGAACGTCTGAGGTGGAATACAGTGTAAGTCGTCAGGCAAATTATTCACATTTATAACAGCTTTAGTGAAACTCTAGAGTTTCATCAGAAAGAGTGGTTGACCCTTTTTTTCTTTCACTCCCTTTTCATTCGAGAACCTTTTAGACATTTAGAATCATTCACCGGCTATAATTCCTATAGGATTTGACTTACAATTCCTGGGGTGTGTGGGGGGGAGGGTGGTAGAGAATTCCATTTTAAGGAACTCTGCATGTATTGTATTTTCTTTGCTTTCTTAGAGGTAGATAGCCTCAAAATAAGGTCCAAACATTTGTTCCTTCAAATGATGTCAAAAAGAATAGTATTAAATGAGGAGGGTAGCTGTCATAGAATAAGAACTAAAATTCCAGTTTTCAAGAAAAAAAATCTTTGATAATGCACGTGTCTGGGTATGTGGAATTACGATCTATAAAAAAACTATTGCCGAAGAGACCGATACAATTTGCCGGTCTGACAACATGGTTGGAATATATTGTTGGAAGAGACCTCATAAATTAACTCAATTCTCTGATTTAGAGGAAAGGGAAAGAGGCCCAGAGATGGTGAGGCCTTGCCTGAGTATATTAGCACATCACACAGTACGATTGTTTTTATACGCACACAGGCACACACAAACTGTTACATTTACTTCTGTTTTGTACATAAATTGCTACTGGCTTATACAATAAAAGAAAAATAAGCATGCAAATTTTCATTTGTTATTACACTGCCAGAAGTGGGAAATACCCATATTTTAAATGAGCAAAAAAGTTCTTTCTTGCCACTGATGAATCGTATTATGGCTTGGCCACACTGCTCCTCTCTGCAGTCCCTGAAGGTAGCGTGGATTGGGAGCAGGAAGACTGGCCGGAAGGTGGGCAGAGGTACTCAACTCAGATTAGAATGGGAATTCCTTGCTGTGCCAAAGAGGATCCCCCCAGCAGTGAAGGCTCTACGCAAACTTAAGCTTGGGCTACTGCAACTTCTCAACCAGGGTAGGGGGGTCAGGGGGTTGGCATCAAGTACCAATGTATGCCCTTCACCCAGAAGAATATGGGCTGGTGTTCTTCCGACCACAGAGAACAGAAATCAGCAGTGTGTGTCTTGCCTAAGCTGTTGAACCAGAAAGTTTACTAGGTGTAGTCATAGTACCTAAGTATTTTAATTTCTATATGCATATAAACACCAAAATATTTAGGCCTAATGTATAGTAGTATTACTAGCTACTTTATCTCTTTCCATAAAATTACAGTGGATATAATTCTAAGGTAGTTTTTCAAAATATATCATTTTTAATGTCATTACAGACATCATTCTGAAAAATCTTCAGACTAGCTACTACCTATACTAATATTAAATAACTTAAAAAAATAAACAATACATTATATATACCAAAATAGCCCCATTTTGAAGCCATGTGAGTGAAAAAGTTGAATTTTCAAGAATAAACTAGACCTTTTAGAGGAATTTTTCATTATTTTAATATTAAATGTGTCTTCTTTTCTAACTATGCCAAATATACAGACACTACTCTTGGTAATTTATGTCAGAAGTATTGATTATGAAAACAATAGGTTGGTTCACTTGTCTGTTTTTAGTTGTTCTGTAATGGAACATTTATTCTATACCTAAATAAATTTGCTCCCAAAAGATATCCCCCAAGGAGACAGGATAACCAAAAAAACTTAACAATGTACAGGTATCCAGTACATGCAACCTCATATTTTCTAATAGTGGTAGAAAGTAACTTTCAAGTATCACTATAATCCAACTGGACTTACAGCTATCTCATAAAATCAATACTCTAAAGGAAGAAAGCCATTTGAAAAACTTGTCCTTGTTAGAACACCTTTGCCAAGATTCCCATAGGAAACAAAACTATCTATCCATAAAGAACAGAGGGCATTTGGTACCCACCAAATGTGCACACTTAGAGTGTGCACACATTAAAGTGCACACATTTGCTCTGAATGCACAGTAAACTCTAGCCAGTTGAAGAGCCCACATTCTCAGTTCATTAAAGGTCACTGTATCATCCACAGCTGGAAGAATTTCTTCTGAAAAGAACTTCATCGAGGCAGGACCCAAAGCTATTTTCAGCTTCTTGTCCTGCTTTCTGCAGTGGTGGGTATTAGCAATAGTTTAGCTAAAACAGTAAGAGAGAGACTGGCCCACTTTGAGAACCAGTTCAGATGTTTCTGCACTTAGCATTAGTCAAATGCATTTTATAAAATTAAATGAACATAAAGTCTGCAGGGAAGAGACTCCATAACTCACAAGTAATAAGCAGAAGTTAGCTGGCTAAAAAGTGCGTATCTTCACAAAGCAGGTGCAGGAGGTTAAGAGGGGTTCAAGCATTCAAGAAATTTTGCTTCTTCACAGGTTTTGATCCAGCCACTTGATGTAACTATTCCTAGTCCGGATTCCCACCGAGAAGTTGGTGGGCCAGCTAGTGAAAATCATGCATCCGTGGAAGCCATCCTCAAAGTGATCAAGGGTTACCTCCACTCCTGCACTCTCCAAGCGCTTTGCATACATGATCCCATCATCCCTTAGGACATCGTGCTCACATGTCAGAATATAGGTCTTTGGGAGGTGCTGCAGGACTTCCTGGTCGGCAATGAGTGGGGCAGAACGGACATCCAGCAGCTGAGGGATCTCCTGGATGATCCTGGCACTGCCGGTGGTCTGCACAACAGGCTTGTAGTTCTTTGTGATGGATGCAGGCAAGAGCGACGTCCAGTTTAGACGGGCCCTGAGGGCAACGGCCTCACCCACATCAAGTGAAGTGTGGTTGTTAATGATCATTGCCTGGACAAAGTCGTAGCTGCCTTTGAAGTAATCCACCCAGTACTTCACCATGACATAACGGGGCAGGATTGGGGTGTTGACATTTTGCTGATAAGAGGGTGTGTTAAAATCTAAAGCTTGAAGAACTGGATAAATTAAAGCTTGCACTTTGAACTTGTTTTTTAGGTTGGCATCTTGATTAAACTGGAGAAGAAGAAGCAAACACATTTTTTCATTTTGCCTGGCTCCTTTTAACAAAAACCACACCATATAAAGTAGCTTAATGCCTTACTGTAAGCCAATCAAAGGGGTGTAAGTGTTAAATTTCTACCAGTCATGGTATTAAGTAATGTAATTTAAAAAATAAATAATTCTCCATCACTACCACCACCACCACCATCAAGCTATTTAATATTTACTAAGAAAGGTTATTTGCAACTCACGGTTTTGAGTGAACACTTCCAAGGCACATGATTTCTTAGGACTTTAAACCCCTACAAACACTTTACTGATATCTATCCTTTGGCACTTAGCACACTTTGCTGGGTATTATGGGTGGATAATGGATAATGTGTGCACCTTATTTAATTTCATATTCCCTGCAAGGCTCCAAAAGGCAATGGCTTACTAGACAGAAAAAAAAAAAAAACTAGCCTGATTCTCCCAGAGGAGATGGATGGGTAGGAAAAGCTGAATGAAAAGATGATGGACTCCAAAGTGTTGTAGTAAGACTTCAGGTATCACCTCTGATGAGCATTTAGTCTTATGCTTGGTGAGAGAGGAAGAATTCAAATACTGCTGGCAGTGCACCCTCCAGCTGAGTTAATGAGCACGTGCCCCAGAGTAGAAGTTGAAATGGGCATGTGAATGAACCCTCCATCTCAGATCTCAATTCCTCTGTGCCTCCCAGAAATGTGAATGCATTGCCTCATTCTGCAATTGTAGTGTCTACAGTGATGTATCTCATGTAATGTCTAAAAGCAGCTACCCAGATCACTGTTTCATACGCAGCTAAACAATCATCAAGGTCACTTCGGCCAAACAATTCTGTGTCACACTGGACTTTATAGAGCCCCCATCCCTAATAGATTAACTTGCATTTTTAACATTTAAAATGGCTGAACCATTTCATTCTTTTCTTTTTTATTTGAAAAAAAAAACTTTGGGAAACACTTTTTAATCTTTCACTTTGGCTGAAAATTCTAAGGAAATAATCTTAGCATTGGAATTTAAGCAAAAATATCCCATTTCACAAGTCCAATACGGAAAAGGAGCAGGGGATATTTAATGTCCACTCATATCCCTGATGAGCAGGGGAGCCTGTAAATGTTAGCCGGCATCCCACATGAATTATAATGAGGGAAGATGTAACTGCTCTGTAAAAGCAAGAGGAAATGCAGTACAGCACAGAGAAGATGCTCTACAGCATCTCACCACACTGATGGACAGTGACTGCAATGGGGTTGGACTGCGGACTCGATAATATGGGTGAATGTAGTAACCACAACATTACTCATGTGAAACCTTCATAAGATTGTATATCAATGATACCTTTATAAAAAAAAATCCAAATGCTGGCATTGTCCAGAAATTTTTTTTTTAAAAAGCAAGAGGAAATGATCAGTTAATAGTACTAATAATATGTGTACACAATTCTTGGCATGTATCTTCATAAGTCCTGGCAACAGCCCTGCAGTCAGAAGGCATTATCCTCGTTTTCTGGAAGCTCAGAGAGGTTAAGGGACTTGCCCAGTGGCCCACAGTGGGGAGAACTGAGTTCCATCCCAGTTCTATCTGCTTTTAAAGCCAGTGATGCTCTCTCCCCATTACACCAGGACTTTTCTTCTTACCCCATATGGACACATGGATGGCAAACTGCCAATGCCAAGCAGAGAACTGAGTTCTTTAAATATAGCAAAGAAGAAACCAGGGTATACCACAAACAAAAGGGCAGATGCTATTTAAGAAATTTGGAGGTGAGAAGACAGAGATGGCATTCTCAAGTTACTTAATCTGTAAGAGGAAGAAAATGTGCTTACCTTTGAGTTTACACAACAGCCCAACTTTTGGGTGCTCTTAGAGCTAGACAGTTTTCAAGAATTTAACCAGGTAAAGCTTAGATTAACTTGTATTTTTAAAATTTAAAGTGGCTGAACCATTTCATTCTTTTTTTTTATATTTGAAAAAAAAAAAACTTCGGGAAACACTTTTTGACTTCTTGCTTTGGCTGAAAATCCGAAGGAAACAATCTTAGCATTGGAATTTAGGCAAAAATACCCCATTTTTAAGTCCAATACAGAAAAGGAGCAGAGAATATTCAATGTCCACTCATATCCCTGATGAGCAGGGGAGCCTGTAAAACGTTAGCACCCCTTTCACATGAATTATAATCAGAGCCTTTATAAGGACTCAGAGATGACACTTATTTCAATGACCCTTCTTCCTGCTTCAAAAAGGTCTCTGAGCACTCTGCAAGAACAATCCTCTGAATCACTAGACAAGGCCACCTGGCTAAGCCTTTGCCATGCATAAGGAAGAACGTGTGGTGTGTTGGCCATTATCACATTATCCTGTCACCTACACTTCAGGACAGTCTGTTACCTGTTGGCTCAGGACAGCGGCCAAATTCCCACCAGCACTGTCACCAGAAATGCCAATTCTGCCTGGGTCAACCGAATACTTCTGTAAGACTTCTGGCTGTAGGAAGTACTTTGTGGCACGTACAACATCGTGAATTTGTGCAGGAAAGTGAACCTTTGGAACTAGCCTGTATCTGTGAAAACAAAAGTTGTATTGATTTATGGACTTCACCACATCTTCACAGGCCATTTAAAGTTTAAGTAGAAACTGATTCTTTTGATGCCAGAAATGAACAGTTTAAGAAATTAAAATATAAAAGCAAACCATTCATTTTTTTTCTTGCAAATCAAATATGTTGTTTAAAAATTGGAAATCAAATTGCACAGGAAAAAATTTGTTTAAAAATTGTACGAGCACTAATCCTCTTTTGAATTTTATTTTTAATATCAGCCCCTAAGCAAAACAAAACAAACAGAAACATACACACCTATGACCACCACCAATGCAGAAATGAAGCTTCAAAATAAAAGGCAGATGCTGGTTATAAAGGTAAAGACAGAACCACATAGATTTTGGAATTTTATTTCTGGAAGTCAGTGCGCCAGTCACACCACCTCTGGGTTAGAAGGTGACTTGGCAGTATTAACCAATTCACTGGTCTCATGTTTGTTCAGTTCATGTGGTTTTCTTCATGATTTACTTGATAAATACAAAGAAATTGTACTCCACTGAAGAGATGATGTCTGCCTGACATTAAACCCAAGCAATGCATTCACTCCCTGGAAAGCTGGAACTAAAGGGCCAGTTATCAACAGTAAAAAGGAAGCCAAGTCTATGAGAAGGCCAAGGGCAGGCCTTCTGGGGCACTCCTGGGGCTTCTGCACACTTAGGAGGATTCATATTCCTTTAAGGGTCCCAAAGAATCCTGGTTTTGTCAAATGCCCCACCTATAAATCACCTTACAAATCCATATTGGCAGTCTTGGCTTAAAGTGCCCTCCCAGTCTCACCTTCCTTATTAATTCTCAGTCATCCTTTAAGACTTACTTGAGTGTTTGGCCTCCTCAGGCACCCTTCCTTGACTATAACTCCCTTGCTTCTGTGGCTGAGCTGACTACCAATCCTTCATATTTTTATGTGCTGGGGTATGTTACTGCTCTTATCATCTCATCTTAAAATGATTTCTTATTTCTTTCCTCTAAATAGTGTGTTCTCTGATATCAGGAACTGTGTTTCCAGTATCTATCACTGTGCTAGGCACATAATCATCCATCCAGTAAACCTTTTTTGAGTATTAACATATCTTCACTCTGCAAATGAAGAAACTGAGGCACAATAAAGTTACTTGACTTGTAAAGTAAGTCAAACAGATCAATTAGAAGCTAATTTATTAATTAAAATCTAATAACAGTTAAGAACTTAGATCTTTTGTTTTGTTTTATAAGTAGCATCCTTAGTCTCAGAAACTATTATTTTCTAAGCTACTCTATAAAAAGTCATTTATTTCCCCCACATAAAATCCAGCTAGTTAATTTAATATCCTGACAGTAAGAGCAGATACAATCAAAAAGACAAATATTTGTGAAAAACTTTAATAGGTGGCAAATGTAGATCTGGTTATTCAGGAATTACTACATTTTAAAAATCTAAATGCAGTAAGAAACTCCCTTAGTGGTTGCCTCATAACAGATAAAATAATTTCCTATTTTCTTCCTTATTTTTCCATCTGTGGTGATCAATTAATCATCCAAAATGTTTTTTCTCCAGTTTATTTTCTCGTTAAGTACTAAAGCTTCTGGTAACCTGCTGTGCTGTTAATAACCGGTGAAAGGGGTAGGGTTACACCAGTGTGTCCACTAGGTGGAGCCATCTCTTATCATTTTATTCACCCGGTTTTGGAAAGAGGTTCCCAACGTTTTAATCTCAGTATTACCAAGATGAATTCTTAAATCTTTCAATGAAATAAAAACAAATGCATTTCATGGCTCAATTAGTGAAAATGAAGACTATTCTGTCTCAGCAAGATTCCACATATTATGATAAACTGTTTCCCTGGTAGCCCAGGAGGACAGAGCACATTCTACTAGTACACATACACAAATTACATTTTCAGATATTGTTTCACAAAAGGTCTTAGTGACTTTGAATTAAGAGAAGGTAATCTGAAAATATGCTGCCTCAAATATTATCAGTCAATTAAAAACTGGCTCAGATAACAGACTCAAAAATATACTTAGACATACTTAAACAGGTTGTGGTGTAACAGTCTTCCTAGTACCTTTAAATCTATCTCGAACACCTCTCCTTATCATTGTTTAAGCTGGAACTTTCTCCAGTTTTATTCAATACAAGACGATACTATTTTCATAGACTGGAGAATATAGCAAAACCAGATATTTCTGAGGTCAGCCAGTATAAGACAAGCCTTCTCAGTAGCTTGACGTTGACCTGAGAAGTATCACAAAAGTTCTATGATATCTTTCTAGAGCCAGAAAACTGAGTCAGGAGGAAATGTATGAGTGGTATAGCCAAAGAAAGCACTTATAAATAAATATATTTACTGCTTTTATTCAAAGCTATGACCCCGCAAAGTACTGACAGGATTCTGACATTTTTTTTAAATTTCAGAATTGTAGAGTTAAAGCTGATGAACTTGAAAATAGAGTCTCAATTTGTCCAGCTCACTGCCGAGATAGGCGGGCGCTGCCATTACAGTCATCTGTCTATTACTGCGCATGCCTCTTAGTAGAAAAACAAAATTCGGTGAAAACTCAGGAATGAGGTTTAATCAATTTAATAAATGTGCACACTCTATAAAAATTATCATATTCCTGCTAGGGGATGGTAACTCACCAGGCACTCTACAGATGTGTTTCATTCAAATCTCAGAGCAAACCAGTGGCTTCAAGGATGAGAATGTGAGGCTCAAGGAGTGTAACTTATCTACAGGAGCTAGTAAGGGGCAAAGCTGTGATCTAAATTTACAACTGACTTCAAAACCCACGTTTCCCCTCACCTTCTTAAAATATCTGGATTTTTCAAAACCCCAGAGCCTTTTAAATATGTGTGTGTGTTCTCATTACCTCATCAAAGTGATAAATTCTCAAAACTACAGATTTCTGACATTTCAGAATCTCTCTCATGATTTCAATGTTTTTGCAATATTCTCAGAATAAACCATGCAGCACAGCACCTGGCACATGGTAGATCTTTAACATATTTTCTTCTTTCTAAATGAAACTTTATTTTATAAATGTTAACACTTATTTTATACCTTTAAATAAATTAAAACATTTATTTTATACTTTTACATAAAAAGATATGTCAAATAGCATTATCTGTGGTAAAAGTAATAAGCCATATGGCTTTAAAAACACACAAAAAAAGAAACTGTTTCTAACCCACCTACTCTTCTGGCACATCTCCAAGGACTCCACTTTCTGGTCCACACATAGTCCAGAGTTTCTCATCTCTGAGAAACTTTCTTATCTCATCTCGCACCTCAAGATAATCTTGGGAACTTTACAAAAACGCTGAGGTTAAGCCCTTCTACAAAACATACTGGGGTGAGGCCCAGTATTATCTACATTTGAAGAGAAATTCCAAGCAATTCTAATGTTTAGGCAAGGTTCAGAAATATCACTGAGTCTGCCGTATTCACTCTTCCCTGAACATATCCTCCTGCTCCTGTTTTGAATGCACTGGTCTGTCTTCACCCTCGTATGCCCTTCCCCCAGCAGCTCCTTATCACCTTCCCAGCCTCTAAGTCTCATCTCAAATGCCCCTTCTTCCAGGAAACCTGCTGAGAGCCCGGACAAGAGTAACCCTCCTTTGCTGGAGTGCTCAAAGTCTGACAGGTGAAAACACAGACACTTCAACTTCCTCTAGATGTAGATGGAAAGTCATAATTATGTACTAAAGAGTGTAATGTATACCCCCTGCAATAAGCAGCACCATTTCTATGATCTGTTACTTTATGACCTCACTGACAGTGGTCAAAGAGTTGAGCAGTTCTCAGAAAGACTGACAACTTACTCCTGAGGTCAAAGGCAGCTACTGTACACAAGCTGGGAGCTCAGGGGAAATGTGAGTTGCTCCAGCCCTCTGGAAGCTGAAGCCCTGAATGACACTAGTGTTCTAAGAGCTTTGTAATGCGCGTTCTCCCTCAAAATAACCTAACCCGGAAAGCTGTGTACAATCTCCGGCTGTGAACAAGGACACTGAGTTCTCTTCTTGTCGTGCCAGGTAGGTGAAAGGTGCATGGGACATCGTGGAATGCAATTATACTATTAGATTTGGCAAGAATGAGATAATAATCTCACTCCTTTTGGGGCCTTTTTGTTGTTCCTTCTTTTTCACCATCCCCCAAGAGGAGTCCAATAAATGCATCTTGAGAACATAAAAAGGTCAATATTCTCCTCATACCTTCAATGGGGCTCTCTAAGACAAATTTAAGACAATCTCATCTAAGACAGACTGATAATTACATCCATACTGTGTTCTCTATTTGGGAGACAGCTCTGGAGGAAGAATCTATATATCTAACAGGTAGATGCTTCCTTTCCATTAAAGGAACATAGAGTAAAACTGCACAAAAGTGAAAGGACTGTGAACAGATGATTGCTTCTCTTTTTGTTCTTAAATGTGGTTTGTGCATAAACATTGAAGAAGAGTCTTCCTTTGGTTCCACTCTCAAAGTTGGGCCCCTGAGATAGCTTTGACCATGGCATTCAGCAAGAGAGAGCTGAGTGGATAAGAAAAATATTTTAAAAAAACAGACAGTTGTCAGGATGCCTGACCCAAATCCTAGGGGTAATTGAACCTAAAATTGCGATCCATTTAAACAGCGTAATTCTGTAATGCTGTGTTCACATTTGAGATGTCCAGAGACATATCTATGTACACAGCAGGGAGCTCCCAGCCTCCTGTGTTTATCTAAGCTGCCTCCTCCCATGCCAATGCATCCTCTTCTGACCTCAAGAGTAAACAGAGAGCCAGAGCACTCCCAGGTGCCACTGAACTCCAGGCAGGCTCGGTGCCACGTTAAGAGAAACCAGTGGCTTTTTTTATGTTAGTAGAAAATGGAACCAAGAAGGTATTAATTAAATATGTCTAAAAAGGACAGATTCATTAGCTAAAGAAGATGAAGATGGAGAAGAAAATAAAACGACTTAAAACATGCCACCCTAGTATCTTTCTTTCATATTAAATTATTTGTGACACTGGCCTTTAGATTTGCCAAGGTTGGCCTGGACTGAGCAAAAGAAAAGTTCTGAGGAATCTTCCCTTTCTTGGAGGGGGGAAGCCTTAGGGATTTGGTCGGGCCAGGTGGGGGTGAAGCGTGAGGCTTTCTCAGCTCAGCACCTAGGGGAAAAACAGGGCAAGGAGCAGAGGCAAAGTCGCAGCTAGATGACTGCTGCTCAGGGTTTCTCAGAGTATCTTACTTGCACAACTACTGATCCAGATGCGTGTTGCACTGTGCTTCCTGCAGGTGCTGTGAGTTTGTCAGCTTGCACTCATCTAACTTTATGGAAGAAAAAAAGAGGCATGAAAGTCCCACCGCTTGTAACTGCTAGCAATCGTAAGACAAGTACTCCAGCTTCTTTTCTGTCTACATAAGCAACATGCTTCTTCACAGCTCTGGAATGTTTTAAGTTCTCTGTGTACAGTGCTACCTGACACTCGGTGGAATGGGAATAGGTCTCACTACATAAAATGTGGAGCTTATGACTATAGCAAAACACAACTTGAAAAAGTTTTCCGCACCCAAAAAAAGCAACATAAAGAAATTAACTGTAGAATTTAACACTATAATTAAATCTATAGAATTACATCGAATGTATTAGATTGAATTTAATAACATCCAACATGCCTACTTTATTATCTTGCATTTTGCCTTTTAAAAAATTAAATTAAATCTTCCTTCTCTTTTATGTCTTAGGGTTCTAGTATTGTGTCTTCTATATATACTACAGGTAAAAGGTTACCCTGTTATAGTTAATCTCACTGAAGTTTATCAGAATAAGTTTATGAATATAAGTAGGACCTTCCTAGTTATACAAGTGAGGATACATCATGTATCTTAGGTATTATAGATGAACTTTTTCATTTACTTAACAAATACAGTGCAATTATCATGTAAACACAGCAGAGTGTTGTAGAAGCCACTGAGAAGAAGTCATGGCCTATTTTATGCCTTAAGGCTTTTCTCTCAGTTGCTGGGTCTATCACCAGCACCAGTAACATGAACTGAGGCGTTCCAGCTCCCGGTGCTCATTTTATGTGAGGAGATTCCATCAGCAGGACTGTCCCCAAGCCTTGCCTACCAGCTTCCTAAGGTTCCACCTTTCCCCAGGCCGGACCACCACCACGCACTCCTGTGGCCTCAAGGATAAGGAGAAGCCGTTGGTTGACAGCCTCCCTGCCAGGAGAAGGTGGAACTCCAGGAAAACCAAGGGTCTCCCATACTCCTGGACACTCTCAGGATCATCCGCTCTTATTTGTTCTCCTTTGTCACCCCCAGAGGTGTGAGTCCCTCCATCTGTCTTCTCTCACATTTCCTTCCTCTGATGCTCTCTGCCTCCTCCCCTTCCTCTGAGGCCCTCTCATCACACCACTTGGGCCTTCCATAGCCAACTCACTTGGCCTAACTAGGTTCTGCTCATCCTTCTGAGCTCCATGCAGACATCACTTCCTCAAAGACACCTTTTCTGACTCTTCAAACTAGGTAAGATCTTACCTATTCGATGCCTCCATTACTACTTACATCACTTATCACACTTAACATTACTTGTTTAAGGGTGGTTTTCTCATCTAGATTGTAAACTCCATGAGGGCAGGAATTAGGTCTTATACTGTTATGTCACTAGAACTTAACATAGCAACTGACACACAAGTGAAATTCAACAGATACCTATGGAATAAAAGAAAGAGGAAAGAGGTGAGGAGTGAGAGGAAATATATTCCCAAGTTAGACCTCTGATATACTAATCTAAGTGAAATATCACGATCATCTGATATGGACTATACTTCTATTAGCACGTAGGTTATGTGACTCTCTGTGGGCTGGCTGGCCAGGATTCTAACCACTTTTGCTCATTATTTCTACAGGAAGAGGGCTAAAATTCCACACTAATAAATAAATATGCAAGCAAGACCTTTCCATCCTATGGAAGCACTAATCTTCCAGACTTGTCTAGTGCTTTACAGTATCTAAACCCCTTTTATTTCAATTGTCCAAACTAATTCTCATGACAACTCTCCGAAGTCATCAACCCAACTCCAAGTGTATTTACTTAGCATATATGTTCCAAGCCCTTGTCCTGGGTGATGGGGACCCAAGGGAAAGTCACGTCCAGACACACAGGAAGGGTCCCTAACTTGATTTTGCACATTAGGTTGAATGACTTGCCTGAGGTAACACGCTTGTGGGTAATGATACCTGCTCACTGCTGCCATGCCTCCCAGTTAATACACTTCTGTATGCTCACTCTTAGAGAGTTAAGATGAAGCAGTACCTCTCTGTTTGAGGTTTTAAGTCTACTTAAAAAATCCCATCCATCCTTGTGTGTTTTATGATAAGCCTAGACGAAAAGAACACCCATTTTACTTGAGACAGATGTTGACAGGTGGATAAGGCAAGTAGGAAAAGCTTAGGCATCTTGCCAGTTGCTTATACTGGAACTTTGGAGGGTAAGGCCTGTGAAGAGAACCATCACCATGCCAGGTAAAGCAAGGCCAACTTTCCTCCTTCCCTTGGGCCTTTGAGGAGCTAGAGCTACACAAGGAAACCACTCCAAGGGCCCTGAGGCTCATTCTCCAGCACAGAGCTGTAGGGCCTTGCTCCACACGAGGACTCAGCTGCTTAGACAGCACCTGCTTTGCCCAGCGGCCCAAGCCAGATAGTGCCGTCCTTTCCTTAAAGGTTCCTGCATTACAAAACTGCACTCAGGCTCCTTGAGAAACCAGGGAGGCCAGGGAGGAGCCAAATCCTCAAATAAGGCAGCCGCAGGACCATTCTGTGTGGTGCTAAGAGCTCTGTTCACAGCTGCCCAAATGATAACCCAGCTCTCCCAAGACGGTGAGGATAGATTCCCTTAGCTCTCAGATCTGGCCTGGAGCAGGGGCGCAGACATGAGCAGTGAATGGGAGGGCAGCGGGAGGGGGAGGGCCAGATAAGCTCAGGGCCCGTAAAGTGACCGATGTGGCCACAACCCTGTGACTCAGCATTATCAGCTTCCTTTGGTATTGGCTTGATATGGGCTCAAAAAACGTACAGGAGCCTCAGGAGTGATTTGACCTGGTCCCAGTTCCCTACTCCATCGATGTCACTAGCTGGCTATAGGACCTCATGCAGGTTACTTAAATTCTTGGGCCTCAATTTCCTTATCTAGGAGGAAAATATCAAAATATTTATCTTGGATGATTTATATGAGAAACAAACAAGGCTCTTTATTCATTTATTCCATAAATGTTTATTGAATGCCTACTATCTGCCAGGGACTTTTTCCAGGCAGTAATGACTAGCAATGAACAAAACAGACAAAATTCCCCAAAATTTCTGCCTTCATGGAATTTACATTGTCTATTTCCAACCAGTACAATACACACATAATAAGTTAAATATATAGCCTGTCAGATGTTGATGACAGTTTGGGAGAAATATAAAGTAGAGGAAAAGTAGGCTGCCATTTTAAATAAGGGTATTACCAAAGGGTGCTGTCTGAACAAAGATCTTAAGAGGGAAAGACAAGGTAAGCAAGAGCATCTACACAATACCTGCCATGAGATCGGTACCATGATTTTTGTACTGTTACTATCACCACGATTATTATTATTATTATTATTCACATTCCTCATAGTTTCCCAGAAAAATGGCTAATAAAGACTGGTAGAAACAGCTCTATCAAAAACATTAATATCAATACTATTACCAACAGTAAGAACTCATCAACTAAGATTTGTTGAACACGTTACTGTTTACAAGGTCTGACTTACAGAACCTGACTCTAGGAGATTAACTTTTCCAACTCTTGGTTGCAGGAGAGATTCTGTTACAAGGTTGATAGACTTTTAGATTTAAAAACGTGGTAAACTTTTTTGCTGTGTATAACTGATTATGTATTTCTCCCAATTACAGTTAATTGCTTTTCCAGAAGTTTCCAAAACTAAAAAGAAAAGATGATTTGATGTGTTATAAAGCTAGTTCAATACAATTTTAAGTTTCATCAGAAATCATTTTGTGTGACCTTGGAAAATCATTTCACCTCTCTGAACTTTTATTTTATACTTCATTTTACTGCTTGTCAATAACTAGACAGTTACCTAGGATGCTCTCTTAATTTTTTTTTTTCTTGACTAGTATCAGTTACTTACTCAATGGAGACAATGACAGCATTCAATTCCTCAGCCATTGCTGTACACAGTTCATCATAATATCTGATTTCTAAAAGAGACAAAGGAGCAATCACTAATAAACAAGTTATTTAATACTGTTCATTTTCAAATTCTGCTAATTATGAATTGCTTTTAGACTTGGACTTAAATTATTAGTAATAAAAACAAAAAACAAATGTGAACATATATATCATTAATAGTTATATGTACATGCAAAAATTAAATATGGTTTGTGATATAATGCAATTACTATAAAATGATAGGAAATCTATACTAAAATACCTTTGAATGTGTTTTTAACTAACATTTATTTCATAATGGACTATATGAAATGCACCAAAGTAATTCTGATTCTGTAGCTTTTAAAATGTATGTCTTTCCAAAAGTCACAGCAAATAAGCAGTTTCCTGCTTAGAACCATAAAAGTTTTCTCTTTTAATACACTCATTTGCTGCAATTCAGGAAAGCCAAAATTTGAAGAATATGGTATTCTGTTTAAGCCAACACATAACAAACTAGAATTTTAGGAAGTCTTAGCATTTCTTAGAAAGAGAACCAAAGGTTTACAGTGACAGAAGCAATTTTCATATGTAAAGATTTAATCCTTAGGTATTCTTTCAGTAAATTAAGAGCTGGATTATGTCAACAGAAAGCCAACTATTATCTTATTCATAGGCTTTCCAAGGCAGTGTTAGAAGAGAACCTTAATAACTACATAACTATCTGCATGCCTCCCCCAGCCCAAGCTCTTGTTCTGACAGGAGTCATCAGTCAAAATTATGTGGAAAAGGCCAGGGTGACTCTTAGAATCTAGACCATTCCCAGCACTTACACTTCCTGTCCTCTACCATAATGTCTCACCTGGCAAGTGTCCAATGCTAAAGTCTTTTCTAGAGGAGAGACTCTGTCTTATTCATTTTCACATCCTCATCACCTAGCACACATTATGGTCCAGTTCAGTACACTACTGTCTGAGTTTCTGTACTGGAAGTCCTGCACCCCAGGAAACCCCCTCAGTCCTGGCAGAACCTACAAACTCAGCAAACATCTGTTGAAAACATGAACAAATCAGGGAATGAATAAAAGAATAAATGATGAATATGCAGTTAAATGAAGTGGGATTAGTAGAAAAGTTTTACTTTTTGGTCTTTGCCTCATTAAAACAACAATGTTATTTAAAAACACAAACAAATTAGAACAAGTTGCCATTGCCTTTAAACATAGGGGATGCCGAAGGCTCTGGGCTGCAGAAGAGGAAGTAGCTCCATGCTAATTACAGGCAGAGAAGAACATCTTACTTCCTCCTTGGTACACTCCCACGGGGCTGCTCCCCTGGGCTACCTGCCATATTTAGTGCTCTGCTCATGAAGTTATCTAACACCAAAGAGAATATTCCTCAATTTGCAAGATTGTTTCTTTTTAATAGAGGCATACCTTTTACATTTTCATCTTTGGTCTCATAAGCAGATGAAATGAGTTAATATGTATATTCAGAAATATTTGTTCTATTACATAGAAAGATGCCTACAAAACCCAAGTTGGCAAAAGAACTACAGATACTTCTGCATGTTCTGGCCCAGGGAAACTTCACCTTGTTTTGGTGCAGAAAGCTACCCTCAGCACGTCACAGTAAGTTAGTCTATGACTTAGACCACAGGAAATATTTTCTAACAGTCTCCCTGAATTCACAAAGAGGCAAAAGACTTTATTACTGTAGGGTAATTATATAATTCATTATTCAAACCTACACCCTTCTTAGCATGAAAAGGGGACACGATTAATAATTTTGCTGATGTAACAGGGGTAACTGAGAGTGTCCAGGGAAAGCAAGTCGAATGTGCCTCCTTTCCTCATCCAAAGAAAGTCAGATTCCAGCACGCACCCCCTCCCTCAGGTCCAGCCACAACCCCGAGGCACCTGAAGACGACCAGACATACTTGCACTTGCCAGGGCCCAGCCTCCTCCGTGGATATAAACAACGCTGCGTTTCAGCGGCTCTTCTGGCTTTGGGAAGCCTTCAAACACTCTGACTTCCACCCCGTCAAAGTCGGTGTCAGTCACCTTCACTTGAGCAGATGACCATGCGCTTTTCTTGCCGAAAGAAACGATGATAAAATTGAGTGCGAGCAGATGATGACTCAGGCCCAGGAAGTGTATCAGGTTACTCTGCAGGTGAGGGCAGAAATAGAGGGGAGCAGGCGTCAACCACCAGAGCCACACAAACCAACTCTACGAATCTGAGTTCATGCAAGCAACTGCAGCTGCAGCTTAGGACCCCTGGCTACTTTCACTTGAATTTGCCTTTTGCTCTAAGAGTTTACCAAGTATTTTCATTCAGGAGACCTACTCTCCTTTGATCTTAGGATCAGTGCTGAGAGGGGGTGGGGACAGGTACATTCAGACCCATTTTATCAAGAAGGCTTAAAATGAAATGAACTTGCCCATTTGCAGGATGAGTATAGCTCTGGGACTGAAACCTATGACTTATGAATTACAGGATTTAGTCCTTTTTCTCCCCCTAGAGCCACACATCACTGTTCCAATGATACACTAGGAGTGGAAAAGGAATACTTTATCTGAATGCAAATAAAAGGAAAGCTTTACATTTTGTGTAAGTGTTTTAAAAGTGTTTTAAGCTAATGTATTTAAGAGTGTCTATCTTAAGAAGAAAGAAATGAGTGTGTGAGAGGGAAGGAGCTGGGTCAACTGAGGCCCGGGCATTTAGAATCCAACCAACTCAGACAAAATCAGGAGCTGTTCAGAAATGTGCAAAGAATATACAGCCTGCTGTCCTTTCCCCTTTGAACCTTGAGGCATCAGGCTCTGCATTAAGCGTTCACAGAAAGATACTTGGTTGCAGAAGGAACATAGAGAGAAGGGACCCACTTCATCCACCCAGCAAAGATCCTGTGGAGTGTAGTCCTTTCTGCTTGTTATCCAAGCTCTTCCTATTGAGGACATTTATAAAACTGACCTCCCCAGGGCATAAATCTGCAATGAAGTAAAAAGCTAACCTTTTCAAACAATATGGCTTCTCTCTCACTTACCAACTTCACATCTCCCTGTATGGCCCCGGAAGATGACTGGTTAGCCAGAGACGGGTAAGATTCCTCAAGGGAGGAACAACCTAAGACAGGCACAGTCGCAGGGGGGCCATCAGGTGAGAAATTGGGGATCAACAGTGGTGAGGCTTAGAACCTCACCCCCCTGTTTTGAGAGAAATCTTCTGCATCCGTGG